ATTAATATGTATTAATCCTCTGTGGAGGTGTAGCTAGTTTTGATGGCATGCAAAAGACTCTGGGTTTAATCCCCAGAGCCACAAAAAATAAAGTAAAAAACAAAAAACTTTAAAAATGTTTGTCTCTTTCATCTCATACCCAATTGATTAGCAAATCCTGTTAGTTCTACTAATGAAATAGATCCCCAATATTGTGCTATTATCTTAGCCCAAATTATGTTTATCTCTTGCTTGATCACTGAAAAGCCTGTCTCCTTTAAGACACAGTCTACCACCCTACAGGATTCTTTCAAAACATAATTTTATGACAATAGCTCAAGCATACTTTTTTTGGGGGGGCAGTAAAACTGAACCTAGGACCTTCACACTTAGTTATTATCATCTCTAGCCTTTTATATTTTGTTTTGACACAGTCTTGCTAAATTGCTAACTTTCACAGACTGGGTTTAAACTTTCAATCCTCCTGCCTCTGCCTTCCAAAGTACTGGTACTGTAGATGTGTGTCACTACTCTGGCCGTGACAATCCTCTTAATATCCTGATCATTCTCCCAGCTTTCACTTTTCCCCTACAAATTCTATCCAGCAATTTAAGTGACTGTTTTAAAACATAAGTCAGCTCACATCAATCTTAAAATCCTCCAAATGTGTCACATCTCTGGAGTAAAATGTAAAGTATTTTAAAATAAACTACAAAATCTATCCATTTCTCAGCTTTACCACTTGCTCATTCTGTTATCCTGGTGCCTGCCATCCTTTAAAATGTGACAAGTAAACACTCTTCCTAGGACCTTTTGCCTTCTGTTTCCTCTGGATGATGCATGGCGTGGTTCCGAACTTCACTTTTTTCAGATTTCTGCTTACTGTCACCTTATTAATAAGACCCTCCCTGAAAATATTTTATAAAACAAGATCCCAAATCCGTTGCCCTCACTCCACTTTTCTCTGTGAAACTTAAATGCAGTGGATACACTATTTACTTTGTACTTAAGTGGCTTCTCCTCTAGAATATACACCACAAGAAGGTACAGGCTTTATTTTATGCACTGCTCCATCTTCAGCACCCTAAAATAGTGCCCACCTCATAGGAACAAATAAATGCTGATTGAATAGAAGCAGAAATGGGTTACTTATATAATCTTACTCTTCCCTTGTCAGAAAGTATTTAGATTACTTATAATATTTCATAACTGCATTTGATTGACAGTTATCAGATACCTCTTATGGCTTGTGTCTAGATAACACCCAAAGCCTCATGCAGTCATAGGTGGAGCTTTTTCAGAGGTGGCAGGATCTAGAATGCGTGATGCTGGGATTGATTCATGGTGCAATGATAGGCTCAAGGGCCCTAGGGTTAAAGAGTGTGAGTGCTTCCCACCCTCAGGAGTCTGGATAAGATAAAAGGGCAGAAAGACACTGTTAAGGTCCCTTGTTGCCCTGCTACCTTCTGTCCCTCATTAAGTGTCGCCCCTCTGCCATGTGTCACCCTGACTTGGAGCCAGCCGAATATGGACTGAAACCTCTACAAACTGCGTGTTAAATAATCCTTTCCTCCTTTTTGGGGGGTATTAGGTATTTTGTCTGAGCAATGAGAAAGATAATTAAGACAACACCTATTTAAATATTCACTTATGAATAATTTTAGAAACACACTTTAAAAATCACCAAGAATCTATCACATAAATCATTGTACCATAACCTATTTATGATACTTTTAAATATCAAATTGGTATACTGAGGTTTGTCAAGCCCTTATCAAATGACAGCCACTGAAATACCTGTTATTAAAATGACACGACTACTCAAAACAGAAAAATTAATTCCTTTAAAGAAGAGCAATTCCATTAAATATAATACTGACAAATTAACCTTAACTTGGCATTGAGAAGTTTTCACAAAATGGTAGCTACAAACTAGTTAGGCAATTTATAATGAAGCATTAATAATCATTTATATTTTGCTCCATCAATTAACAAAATGATTAGTACATCTTAATCAAGACAAATTTTAAATATAAAAACTAATTTAAAAGATGGCACCAGAAACCAACAGCCTGCCTTATTGACCTTCCAGCAAAAGTAGTTCCTCTAGAAATAAGATTTAACTGTGAAGAAAATAAAAAGTATATTCTCTAGGGTGGGAGTTCTTAACTCAAGAGTTCATAAATAGGTATCAGAGAAGATTCCTAAACCACCAAATATTTCACATCACTCTGAGTATGTGTGTTCCTTCTTTTTGACTGCGGAGTGGGCACAGATCCTGAGTTTTCATCTCTAAAGAATATACTATCTAGAAAAAAAAAATTGAAAACGATTACACTTGGTTTTTATGCTTTCAATAAATGACAAGTCTCCCACATGGAAAGGCAGAAAAAAATGGAAAGGCTAAGTACTCAATTAATGTCTCAAACTCAGCAAATTATCCAAGGTTATTAATGTCAATGCCACATTCCCAACCTGTGACACTATGTGTACAGTAAACTTGAATGAAGTTGGCAATATTTCACAGTAAGAGGCATTCAATGAAAAGGATAAACTACATACCTAACCACTCTCTAATTTTATTAAAAGTCATTAGTGATGTAACTGACAGTAGGCTTATTTAAAAACACTAAATGCTCCTCCCTGTTAAGTTCACCACCTCCCAGAAAAACCGAGTACTTAATGTGAAACAAAAGTCTCCAATGTTAAGAAACTTAGCTTAATTTTTAAACCCTGTTCAGTAGAAAAGACAAAAGGTCATAATTTCAGTCTCAAAATTTCAAAGTTCTTTCCAGAAGATATTGCATAATTACATCAATAATAAAAATGTATACTATACACTAGGACCCATTCTTCACAGTGTACCTTTCCACAGTTTCAGCTACCCAATCAACTTCAGTCTGAAAATATTAAATAGAAAATTACAGAAATAAACAATTCATTAGTTTAAAACTGCAAGCCAATCTAAATACTGTGATGAAATCTTGCGCCAAATTGTTCAGTTCAACAAATCCATATTACCCAGTTATTAGTCACTTAGTAGCCATCTCAGTTATCAGACAGACTGTCAAAGCAGGAATCAGTGCCTATATTCAAGTAACCTCTATACAGCAGCCTAACAGTAAGTCACAATCCTACATCATTCAACTTTGTATCATTTTATAATTTAAAAAAGGTGAGTACAGTACTGTAAGACATTTTTAGAGACAGCAAGAATGAAAGAGATAGCACACATTGATAACTTTTATTACAGTATATTGTTATACTTGTTAGATTTTATTGTTGTTGCTGTTCATCTCTTACTTTGCCTAATTTATATATTATGCTTTATCCTCAGGAGTACACATAGGAAAAAATAGCAGAGAAAGGGTTTGGCATTATCTGAGGCTTCATTCATCTAACTGGAGGGTTTTGGAATATATCCCTTGTAAATAAGTTGGGACTACTGTAAAAGGTCATGTATAATAAATATAAATTGTATACAAAAAATCTAATATAAAATAAATAACCATGCTTATAGGATTAGATATGTAAGGGATCACTTTTTAGGCAAAATTCCAAATATACTTTTTCTCTCTTTGAGCCCTCTAAAACAATCTTTAAAATATCTATAATAAAATACTTGTCATATCAAAGGGCACTATATTATATAGAAAATAAAAGTATCTCTAACACAAAAGTGATAACCATAGAAACACTATCTAAAGAGCCCTGAGCAAGACAGATAAACTGTGATTAATCCATAAATCTCACCTTTATTTCCATCAATCATTTCACTATAGTTAAAGTAATAATAGGCTAAGAAGTATAGTTGGTTTCCTGAAATTAAGAAACACATTTTACAAAAAAGACTTTCTTCCCCTTAAAAGTTTGCTATTCTGCAGTTACAAACTGTGGGATCCAAGAAACAATACCTCTGTCCTCCAAGACTTCCACTCAATTTTTTTATATCTGTATATGCAATTCATTTTAAGGAATAAGGATAGGGGTTGGGCCCTATAGTGACTATTTTTCCCCAGAAATAAATTTTCCATGGTTGAACTGTTTTGGGGGAGTGGGTTGAGACAGATTCTCTCTATGTAGTTGAGACTGACCTGGAACTCACCATGTAACCCATGCTGGTCTCAAATTCACAGCAATCCTTCTGCCTCAGCCTCCCAAGTGCTGGGATTATAGGCATGCGCCACCATGCCCGGCTCGCATGGTTGAACTTTTTAAATACACATCAGATCAATGATGCCTTTTATGATATGTGAAGCTTGAAAATGTAAAAGGTCTGGTAGCAAGGTAGGCTTTGCCAATAAAAAAGATACCACGATGATAAGAATGAAATCTTTAAGGAATTCTTAATGCTACCTAAGAATATGGAACCAGGTGACAGATCTTTCCTAGCAATTTTGCTACATATACTCCAAATAGAGCAGGCAATATAAAACATTTTTCTAATCAAGTTTGATCTCATAAATGATACAATTATTTTCAGTAAAAGAAGAGACTGTTCTTCACAATAGTATAAGTATTATTTCTACTGCCCTTTATGCATCAACAGAATTTGTTGGGTAGAAATCTGCACAAGAAAGGAGAACCCAGTGACTGTCTCAGTAGATTCTTCTGGTTCAAAAGCTTGATTATTATTATTACTATTATTATTGTTGTTGTTGTTGTTGTTATTATATTATTGTTATTTTGAGACACAGTCTTGCTATGTGTTCAGGCTGACCTTGAACTCACAACAATCCTCCTGCCTCAGCCTTCTGAGT